TTCATTGCTCATTCGTACACATTGCATTAAATTGTTTATTTATGATCTTCTTCAACCGTCTATATTAAGCAGACACTATTAATATGGGGTTCCCTTAAGTAGCGGCTAAGTAATTTGTATCATTTATACCATTATAAACAAATATAACCATAATAACTTTCGCACGTATGCAGCCAAAATGTATGATCTTTCTAAACATGAAAAAAAACAACCGCGGTTGGCTCTCACTATCGATTTTTTCAACAAATTTGCACGTGCCCTCCGAATTCGAGTGAAAGAAGTTCGAATTTATATTTTTGTTACAGCTAAAGAAGCCAAACTCTAGGATTAGAAAGGGGTCAACTCACATCTATTAGTGTAAAGACTTTTTATTGTCATATCGTTTTTCATGAAATTTCCTACGTCTCTTTTGGCAAAAATTGATACCTTGTAGAAATCAAAATATCCAGTGAAAACCTTAAGATGACCCCACCTCATTAAATTTAGATAAAGGAAGTGCATACAACCTTATATTTTGTTGCAAACCATTTGCATGTAATTGGTTTGGTAGACCGATAGCATAGTAGTTTAATGCTCTCTAAAACTGCAAGGATTAAAATATACATGGATGCATTATACTTGAGTATTGTAATCAAATGGTATTTGTTGTGTAAGTCAATGCTCTACATTATACAATTATTGACTAATTTAAACGCTAACATGTTCCGTTTTCTTTGTGTTTTACGTCACACCGACACATTATAGGTCATATGGCGACATTCAAATTTACAAAAAGTAAATTTTCCTACGAGATTCGTAACGGTTACCAGGAACTCTGTGACAGATATCATAAGAACGCTTGGCAAGTTATTATGAGAGCTCCATCATTCGTGTAATAGTTTCTCCCCCGTATGCACCTGAACACAAATTGTACCCCGTGGTACAGACATGTCATATCTGGCCACATATTTGACATTTGATTTCTTTTATGCTATTTAGAACTAATACTTCATAATAGTTTAAATCATATTGCGTTTCGCAGTGTTTGCACTTTAAGAAGTCCTTTATCCTGCTAACATTTGATAGTTAAGGCTCTTTCTGCTAACCTGTATTCACTTGTAACACTCGGCCGATAGGCGGACACCAAACAACACTAAGTTCCCATTGATAGGTCAATTAATTTGTCCCTTAATTTTTAGAAATATTAATAAAAAATGCTGATGGTTTCACATAAAAATTCCCAAAAGACAAGTAAATTAATTTCAGCTTTACGGTGAACACCCGTACATCGTCTCATACTGTGCAAATACTGTTGGAAACGTCTCTTTAAGGATTTTCTACAGACGGACGCCAAACAATTAACTTTATTAATAAGATACAATAGATAAAATAATTTTTAACATATTTTACTGCAAAGTGTTACTTATTAATTTGTAAAATTATGACATTTCGGAAATACGATTATTAGGCAGAAAAAATATTTTCGTCAGATAAATTATTTTAACTCAAACCCACTTGTCCCCAACTGATAAGCAATAGTGTAGCACAATGATGATAAAATAATGAACACGCGTGTCGCGAGATTCGACACGAGAGAAATTTCCATCGGTTTGATCGTGGTAACGTACGGCTTCTTCTCTAAAATTCATTGTTTCGTTTATATTGTATATGAACTGAAACCACTGACTTTAAAAAGTTGTAATATGACGTCATCTAAGCATTCATGCCCATTCTGGCTAGAATAACCGCTGAAAATATTTATATCGGGTCATTTCCCGGAAATAATAACGTATGGCGCACAAAATATCAATGATAACGTACAGCGCGTTTTTTTCCGGCTTATTGGATTTTCTATATAATAGAAAGGTTGTGAAGATGTATAGAACCAAATAATGAAACTGAAATAAATAATGTTAATGTCCAGCTTTATTTGCCATCCAACGAAAACGCTGTATTTCTTAAAAATTCTTTGTGTTAATTTTCAAAAATGACAAAAGTCAATAACATATCAAAGTCCGTTCAAAGCAGCCTTCTATTTTTCATAGTGCTTCATAGAACCGCTTTCGTAACAATATACCGGGATAGTGAAGAAATAAAGTAAATAAATAAAGCTTGAACTAAGTATGTTTGTATTCATCCGTAGCTGTTCTACGGAAATAAGTAATATTATCCGGTCGCTATCGCTCCCGTCGATTTTTTTATTTCTGTAGAACAGCGGTGAACGCTAACAGTAGCGTAATAATTTTACAACCGTTCATTCATAAAGATAATGACGTAATTTGAACGCACGAGCGGACTGGCATTAAAGTTTTTTCCGCCATGGATAAAAACATCCAAATCCAAATCCGATTTGAAACTTTATATTTAATGGTCGTTTAAAATGTTAACCACTTGAAAGAAATAAGCAAATTTCAATGTCACTCTTTTATTGCCGATACCTGCGATACAGATTTTGATTGCTTTTGTTGGGGCGATTGTGGAACAAAACACCGCCAGAATATGATAGGCAAATTCATGAATTGCATGTAATTGTTTTGATCAAATTTTGACGTTCCTTTCATTTAAGAAAAAACAAAATCTGTAAGGCTATGTCGTGCAAATATATCTGACGTCATAGTGTCGCAACGTCACGTTAAATGGTACCACCCGTCAAATAAACAGGAAATTTCTTATTTACTAAATTAATTGAACTTTTACGCATAATATCATTTTCCAACTCATTCAATAAATTCAATATAGAACCTACTTTCAATGAGCGATCAGATTGAATAAACACAGGCTCATCACATCTGGGTGTAAGCTAGTCGCAATCACTTTCGTTTTGTTTCTGTTTGACGCGGTTCAAATATAAAGATTTCCTTACCAGACATTTGTTAGGAAAGATTTTAGACTTGTTATTTGGAAAAGAAAATATATCAAGCCGTCCATACCTTTTTAACATTTTTTGCTGTGCTGAATGCGTTTCTTCTTTCTGATAAGGGTATAAAAGTCATAAGACCATAATTATCGCACAACACTGGCGAGATTTAATGTTAAGACAGCAGTGCAAAAATGTTTCCTGTAAGTGGAGGCTTTTCTTTCCATTCAGCATTTTATACAAAAATATTCTCAAACTATACACGTGTGTTTTGATTGGTATATTAACAACGAATATTTATTATGCCACCAGAGTAGTAAAGGGGACTCTTTAGGACCACGACTGCGCATGTGCGGCGCCATATTGGATTCTATATTAAGAATAACATCATCGTTCTTTTTTGAGAACGACATTATTCATCTATTTTAGAATGAAATCATCGTTATAATCTCCTGGTAGTATACGGAGCTGACTCGTATACCCGATCTAGGGCTTGAATCGCGGACATTGAAGGTCAGGTCCTCGGCCCTAGACGGAGAGATAAATATCATCATTTATAAAAGAAATGTCTGTTAATAAATACCTGCTTTACATTCTAATTAATAAAAGCAAATAAACTAGAATTAAAAAAATACAAATAGCTTATGTTTTTTAATATGGTCAAAATAAATAATATTTATACATTGAATAAAAAATAGTACTTGTTTACTTCTAGGCGGCGCGAAACTAAATGACACAAATTATCAGTGTATTATTCCTAAATGCTCCGATCACGAGTGTATCAAACGTGATCGTAGTCACAGTGTCTGGCGTATGTTTATTTAGGTACGGATATGCGGACAATGGTCCATTCAACTGTCAAAGTTAATCTCTTTAAAGTCGCCACTCTGTGGCTACTTTAAAGGGATTAACTTTGTCATGTTTACTTTTAATTGTCCGTCATCCGCTCTTAAATTAACATACGCCAGACTAAGTGGCGACATTAAATAGATTAACTTTGACAGTTGAATGGACCATTGTCCGCATGTCCGTCCCTAAATAAATAGACACAAGACAGATTGGCAATTTTCAAAAACCTTGAGCTTCGATAATTGACGTCTAACGGCAAAAATATGATTTATTAAAAAAGATATGAATGATCGCTTGTTTCAAACATTGTGACAAACATTTCAAATAGATGAAAAGTTATATTCCCTTTTGATACACTAACAGAGCGGACAAATATATTAGTGCATATCATCAGACCGCCATTTTTTTTAAAAAGTTGTTTATCTAAAGTGAGGAAGGAATAAAATGTGCTTGATTCGAAGGGATTTCATTAAAATTTTATAGTTTTACATCTATCATTAGGAAGATTACTTACTCGTGGATTGTTACAGACAATAATTAATTGTTGACATTTGCGTATATATTCAAGAAGGGACTAGGATTTCAGAAAACGAGATCTTTTGAAAGACTGTTTCACGAACGCTGGGTTATTTACTTCGGGCCCATGATTGTCATTGGTTTTATATCAAATTTTACAGTTATTGCTCGTAGGATACTTGAACATGCCCAAATGTCATCAAGAGTAGTTCTGCATGATGAAGTTAGTGTAATTATTAGAATATAAGAAGGAAATCAAAAAATAAAAACGAACTTTTTGGTGATCGGTTAATTAAATGAATTGAAGTAAGTTCATCTTTTTGATTGAAAAAAGGTATTTGCTTTTCTTTAAACTGCCATAGATAGGTCGAAATCGTTACCATTAATAAAATCGTGTTGATTCGTCATTGAAAAGTACGAAATTACAGTTTGATAATTTTTTACTATGTAATTATCAAATATAATTTGCACGGATAAATCAGTAACCCACTGAAAAGTATACAATTTAAAACTAAAGTGTATAAAATATTTTAATGATAATTATAAACGGTAAATTTATGTCGTTTCCATGTCCATGATCTTATAATTTATTCTCGAGGTTTAACATTAAACACATATAGATGTTGAAAGTAAAAAGGATAAGCCTAAGGTTAGCCAAACTCATCTTTTCTGTTTTGACGCCGTGTTTGTGCTCCGTCAAACCAAACAAAGATAAACATCAACGATATGTCGCGGCAAATAGTTATTGTTTCAGTTTTATCAAATGTTGTATCACTGCTTTTTTCATTATATATTTTAGGCATTAATTCCAGGATATGACTGCAATATCAATCAATTGCTACCTTTCCCAGTGGAAACGGATACAGTGCGGTGTTATACGTTTGATAGGCATTACAGATATTTGGTTCCAAACCATTCGTTTTGCGAGGTCACAAAAAATGAAACTGTTTTGCAATACCACTGTGTCGATGGCACTTGGAAACTTTCAAAAGGAACAGGTTATTTAACATTATATTATTGATTATAATCGTTATTCTATGATCGTTATGATAATAAAAAATCCCGGGAGTTTCAGTCTGAGTTTCAAAACTTGATAGTTGCATAAAATAGGCTAAGATATGCCCATTATAACCGATATCAGATATGGTAAGCAAATTTCAGTAGAATGAAATCAATATGAATATTTCATTGTTTGAAAACAAATGCAAAGTCTGTATCATATTAATTCTAATTGTTCAACGGTTCTTAAATCACTTGAGTGATACTTAAATTTTCAGCTACCATTTTCCTCATACTTGTTTGTAATTTATTCTCCATGATCATACAGTAATAACATGTACAAAATATATAATGAAACTACAGTGCAAGTAATAAATATGGTCACCTCATCAAAGAAAATGAAGTAGATAAAAAAAACAGACTTATTTTGTGTTGTGCAGAAAACAGTGTAAGAGTTAAATATTTATTATGTCAAAGCCTTTAATCCCTTTCCAGATAATATTAACAGCCGTCCGTCTGTTTACTCAGGCAATTCCCAATGGTGTATTTGCTTCTTTAATGAAAAAAAAATCGCATTTACTGTCCGTTTTAATCGTCACTGGTTTGTCGAATTTATATAAATGGTTTTAAATATGTTTTGAAAAACTTGTATGTTGATGATAAGAAATTGTTTCTTAACTTGTGTGTTGAACATGAAAGGACAATACATACAGAACTGGCATGTGAAATTAATACAAAGTAAATGTATATTCATATCGATAGTATAAAATAAGTTTATCCATGATACATAATTATCTGTTGTTTAATTTCGTAAATTAAGCAATGCACTGGCAAAAATACGGATTATCATCATACAATTTTAAGATTGAACTAGATAGAAACAGATACAGAGATCAAAGCGTATATGTTAATTATGTAAGGTTTCGGTGGAACGGACAAAAGTTATTTTAACTGTACTTTTTGAGATTTGTTTTCAAAAAGTGTTAGTTTATTCATATAGTTAACAATTATTGACTTGTGAGCCATTAAATTGCATTTGATATTCACCTGCAAAAGTCATATTGACAAATCGTAAAATCAGTATGCTGCCTGCTGATCAATATCACACCATATTTAGTGGCTCACATGTCAATAATTGTATGATAATGACATAATGAAGAGGTGCACACTGTATAGATAACTTTTGTTTAAAAAAAAATTATTTGTACAAATTTTTTTCTGTATCAATATATGTATATGTTCTTTTGGTTTATTGGTCATACAATTTGTCATATCCGATTGGTCAATATCACAATTGAAGATCAACTGTTAAACAGTTTTCTTTTATATTATTATTTGGCATGATCATCATTGTGACAAATGTCCAAATTACAGCACCAAGAAAAAAGTCACACAAGTCAATTGCTGAAAACTTCAATTACGTTCAATTAATTATTGTTATTATCACTGCGGTATATCGTACCCCGGATATTGCTCGATATTATGAGGACTTTCATCCCATTTCGCGACTTTGAACGGAGAACGAAGGTAAGTTCAACGTCGATATTTTCCAAACTAATGGCTATTTCATTTATTTCAACGGGTTTTATATATCTAGAGGTATTTTTGTAGCTCTAAAAGATGTAAAAGTATTACAGGTATTTGTAAAATTGATTAAACTACCTCTAAACGATCTGCTGCTCACTAGGAAATACTGACCGCGATACTGTAGAATCGTTAGAAATAATTATATTATCAATTTAAAAAAAAATTGAATCGAGCATTTTTTTTATTCACAATCCAAGTATGCTTTGTCCAAATTTCAGGCAAAAAGTGTGAAAGTACAAAAAGATACAGGCCAAAAAAGATACAAGAAAGTGTACCGAGTATTGATTTTAAGTGTACCGAGTATTGCAAAATAGCCAAACTTTAGTGTACAGTGTATTGCAAAACAAAATGAGCACATAAGTATGGAAAATCGATATTTTTGTCTAATTTTCACGTCTGTTTATCGATTCCATTACATTCTGCTGATAATGTACTGTTTATATGATATATCTATTCAAATATGTATTCAGATTCAACAATGCATTTTCAGTGTTATTACTGTTCTTTTCCTACGGGCAAATACAGAGATTTAATTTCCAATTTGATTGAAAATCACACTATGGATGAAATAAAGTGTGTGCAGTGTCGGAAGCAGGGTCGGGAGCAGGAATGAACCATCAAAATTGACGATAAAAATCTTTAAATGCATGTCTCAAGAGAGACCCATCTCTGAAAAGAAGGAGAAGAAAAAAAACATTGATTTAAGCCTCTTTTACAAGTTCAAACTGCTATGAAACTATAAAAAAATGCTTCAATACTGATCAAACTGGGCACAAATGTTGGATGGACCATAGCCTGTGGAACACCATGCTCATTTGAAATTTCCAGTTACCATGACAACGGGGGGACGTCTCAAAATTGCCAAAAATCTCTTTTTTGCGTTGTTTTTCCCCCATCAAAACTGATTTCAAGGTGCAGCAACTTCTAAATTAATTGAGATAAAGTCTAAGATTTTCGGCGTTGATTACACGGTACGCTTAAATCGACCTGAGGCCATTTTAGCCCCCCCCCGCCACAAGTCTCAAATTTTCTCGGCGATAAGAGGGGCTACTGTCCCACTTCAAACCCCCAAAAACAGAAGGGGGTACACCTCCCCTGTGGCACCTCCTTGATGTACCTTTTTACTGGGGTGTGGTGGTGGTGCCGAAAAAGTGATCACTCTTTTGAACAACATTAATTTTCTCAAACTCAAAATTTCTAAATAGCGCATGTTTTACACTATTTGAGGCCTCAAAAGGGGTGGGTGTAAAGCCTTCAAATATGATAAACAAGAAAAGGAAAGGAAAGGCGGCGTTCAATTAACGCAACCCCCCTTCGACCCATCAACACGAACCAGTGACAAGGAGCCCAGGCGGACCCCAAACAAAAACAGGACAGCACAAGACAGTCCTAAAACACGCCTTTATGTGGTAAAAGGTAATAAGGAACATAACCTTCTTATTGCATCTGCAGCCCTTTATCATTATCTTATCTAAATCCATTATTCGATTTTTTGAGCTGTATTCGCTCGGCAGTCATACGGTAACTCATTGCTAATGGCGTAACATATTTCACATGCAGACGGTCTGCCGTTGCTAGAGTGCAGGTACAAAATGACCGAAAGTTACATTTATATGGATTTTTTGCATAGTAGGAAGTCGTTTGATAATACAACATGTAGATATTGGCACACTTGCTCAATACCATCTAATATTGACAATCTTCAGGCAGCATTAATGGACTTTGGATGCTTTTTTTACTATTTAAAGTAAGATATGCAATAACTACATGTATTAACAAATTCTGGATAGGTTGATCCTTCGATAGCAACGAGAACTTTGTAAACACAGAAAATTGCTGAGTTCGACTGAGATTTTTCATGATCAGGAATGAAAATCTGGATTATTCGCAGATGTTTCTAGTAAAGTACCTCCGAACTCTGCATAATGTGCACATATAGTGCAAATAAGTATACACAATAAGAAATATTTACAATTAAATGTGGTAAATACTCTGTGTTTACTACTTTCATTTACTCTATATTGATAACCAATACTCGTTACACTAAAAAGCAATACTCGTGACACCGGCGGGCAACTCCAACGCAATACTCGGTACACTGACATGTGTATTTATTCTCAAAATGCACTGTCATCTGGGGTTCTATTGTTAATTGAACATTTACATCATAAACATTATCATCATTATCACATTTCACTCGATTCAAGTTTTTCTTTTGAGGAAGTATATGCACAAAAACATCAAATTTGACTGATCCGAGCTCATTTATCACGTGAGCAAAGAGACGAATTATACCTCCTAATTACATTTCAAAGCTATTTCTCAACATGTTTGGGGTTTCAGCAACTAGAGAAATTATCGAAGTATTGTGTTTTTCTATAAAAATTATAACAAACCAATTCCAAATGACTAAATATCGTCACTGAACTTACCTCCCTCCTCGTTCAAAGTCGCGAAATGGGACGAAAGTCCTCATTATATCGAGCAATATCCGGGGTACGGTATGCCGCAGTGTTATTGATATTGATAAAGGTCTGAAAACTATTTAGAATAACTGATGACCACCATGTCAAAATGTGCAGAATGCAACATCAATGCTAGTACATGCAAAAAAAAGCACTTACAGACAAACAGACAAAGTTGTAAATTCTTCCGGTCCATTAGTTTTTACTTGAATTGTTGTATGAAAATCTAAAATAACTTGTCAAAAATATCACACTTATGACACAGGTTGCATATTCAAATAAATGCATGAATTGATTAAAAATTGAATACATACACGTAAGTCAATCAATCAATCAATCAATCAATCAAACAAACAATCATTCAATCAATCAAGCACTCAGTTTATTAATTAATTAATTACTATCTTGATAAGGTGTGATACCTGGAAAGCATTAATCACAACAAATTAATATGAAAATAAAGCCAATGTTATAATAACATTAATGTTGGTCTGTATACAGATTTTTCAGTTACTTTTTTGTGGATGAAGACATCGGATGCTCATCCGTGAGTTTTAATTGGACACTATTGTGAACATGAAAAACTGGCATTCGTTATCTACAAGGCCAATTTTTGTTACATGAAATAGTCCGTTTCACTGGCGAATTTCGAACCTACAGTTGAGAAGTAGCGATGAAGTCAATATGTCCATCACAAACTATCTGTATATTTTACAGATCATATGATGATTTTTAAATTACAGACTCTCATCTTCGACCTAAACGAGCTGTTATCGCAATAAAAGCAGTCGTTGCAGCTGCAGTTCTAGTGGGATTAGCAGTAGCAACAGTGATTTATTGTGCTGTAAAATATAAAACCATGAAATGTGAAGAACAAAGTAAGTAGTGTGAACGTTTATCAGCATTAATAGAGCATTAATTAAGGAAGTGTTAATATCTGTAAGATTTATGAAAAATACTGGTCAGTTTATGAAATGACATATAATCCTTTCTATCAACATATACCATTAATATGTGAAATAGCATGGACTTTAATTGACAATGATAGGACACTCTAATTTAACCGTATTTTATTTTTTTAAATGCAGCCCATCTGTCCGCAACGACGATCAGACAAATTAACAAGATGAAATCCGCGGTAAATTTTCATTTTTTTTATCAAAAACTGGTACTAATAATTCATTATAACGGTAACACCAAAAGCTCAATTTCAATATTTAACTTATTTACAGACCACCAAAGATGCAATACTTTAGGCTTACTTAGTAACTTAGTCTTAGTTTGTGACGCCCAATTGTTTTACAGGTAATATTACGGGCTTTACAATTTGCCCAAAAAGTGAAATAACTTTGCTCAAATGTTGGAAAATATTTTTCAGATATTCCATATATTACATATTTATAGAAAATTTCAGAATCATTTTGTATTTATTTATTTTGTCAATCAGTTTTCAAATGCCCGCGCAGTGAACTAGACAATCATTGTTGCAGTAAAGTTCTCTAGTATGGTTGTCTCGAATCCGGATTCTTTTAATGTCACTTGTATATTTTCTACTTTTATAATTAGACGTTCATTTGGAATGCAAAGAAAAGGTAAATATGGTATATTAAAGGACATAGTCCAAAACGATAAAAAAAATATTTACAATATGAGCCAGTATTATGCAGAATGAAACATCGCTTAAATTTCTTTAACTTATTTCATAATGAAGGAGTGTTAAATAACAGGTAACAAGTGGTTATTGGAACACCAAATTCTTTTTTCCTAACCAGGTTACAAGTGATAATTGCAACACTTTTTAAATACAAATACATTATAAATACAGAACAGAACATAACTGTTATTTATTTGATTTGTACATCATCATATACATTATATAATTTCAGAGTAACAAATACATTTCAGTGCGAGCAATCAATGAAATGATATTAAAGAAAGAAATAATGCTAACATCAAAACATTATATGTTGTTAAGTCTCAGTTAAACGAGGATGAACATATCAACAAATATTTTGTATTATCATTTAACATAATGTATTATTGAATTTCTAATAGTCATAGCTTTTTTATAATTAACAGCTGATTTGCATAGCTCATTCCTATTTTTACTTTGTAACAGCACTATAAATTTAAAAAGTTTTGGATTTACAAAATAGTATATATTGATATAAATGCTACGAATAATTGAATAATATGGACATATGAGAATAAAATGAAATTAATCTTCGATGTATCTTACAGAACAACATTGACAATAACATTCATTTCCTTGTATTTTATTTCTAGCATATCTTCCAGTTTTTATTCCAAGGTTATGTGCAGAAGTTCTTAATCTAGTAATAAATCGTCTCAAGTGAGTAGGCATTAAATCAAGATATTCTGCGTAATAAAAGTTTAGCTTACACACATTATATAAATCTGGTACAGAACTTGATTCTTTCGATACATTCTCGTATGAAACAATCAATAAGTCTAAATACCAGAATGAAGGTTGTTTTTTTTTTAAATTAAATAATATATGGGTTATTCCAAACATCTGTAAAACCATAGTCATACAAACGTTTTTAAACATATATTACCAAGTTACATAATCCTTTATTACAATCATTTAATGCCAAGTACAATAATAGTGTCTGTAACCAATATTTAATAATACGTATATAACGGGAGATGAACAAAGGATACCTTCCTAACTCTCCATATACACCAACAATACAGGTAGTATTTCTTACTGACAAAATCATTTTACAAAATTTCGAATGTATTCTTTCAATATGTTTTGATTTTGTGACGCCCCATATTTCTCTAGAATAAAACAAAAGAATCAAATAACTGACATATTAACTTGGGTTAAAATCATATATTTTACAATCTAAAATCGAAACATTCAATGCCTTTATCGATTTACCTGTAACGTATTCCTGATTTAGTATAAAAAATTACCTGTATCAATGAAAATTGTTCCAATTTAATTAAAATATTCACTACTTCAATATCATTTCCATTATATGACCAAAAAACTCGTTTCCTAATACACGCCCTATTTTTCTAATTACAACAATTTTAGATTTATCTGTATTAACTTCTAATCCCAAATTTTTACAATATTCAATGCATTTGCAATTCCTGAGGGGTTTTACCTAAAATCAACATATCATCAGCAAATAAAAGTAAAAGTAAAACAATTTCTTCTATATCAAGTCCGGAGCTGACATTTTCCTGTAAAACAATATAGATCTACTACAAGTAGCGAAAAAAGTACTTCAGACATTATTTCCTCTTGTCTTAAGCCTATAGCATACTCAAAATACGAGGGAAAATCGTTACATGACCTAACACAAGATTTAACTTTATTATACATGTCCCTTTTAATTCTTAATAATTTACCTTGTACTCCTAAGTTATACAATTTCACCCACAATGCATTTTGCATTTCTATATATAGTATCAAAGCATTTTTTCATCAACAAATACAAAATATGATCTTTTATTTTCATGTAGATAATGTTGTACCATATCTAACAGTATAAACAAGCAATTATCATAGTATTGCAAGCAATCCATAAGACCCCTACCGGTTAGAACCCCATCAACATTCTGAAGGGCCATTGGCCATTCACTTATGTTTTAATTTTTTCTGTTTCTTTTAAGAAATATTGTTTGAAAAGTTCTTTAAAATTGATCACAGGAAACAGTTATTATGAACAGACAGACTGAAGGACACTTTAAAGTTATTTTTTAAACATCCCTGATACCAAAATATAACATTTTTGAAAGCAAACTTCTTGAACTAACTCTTGAAATAAAGATCCAAGATGTCATACATGATGTGAGTGTAACAAAGAACAATTAGTAGCAAAGCTGTTAATAATGAATGTTTATTTTAAAAATGAAATATGAGAACGTTAAAAGAATAATTGGAAAAATTCAAAGTTTAAGGAGGAGATAATTCTGAAAAATAAAATGTTAGATTTATTAACCTTGTCATATCATAATGATGTGGGAGTTTGAAGTAAATCCTAAAAGTAATGAAGAAGTTGGAGTAAAGTATACCAATTTCCCGAAAAATATTTAAGTTTGAGTGAAAAAAAGAAACCTATATATGAAGTTTGAAGAACATACATTAAGAAAAAAAGTTATTAAAAAACACATTATTTTTTCATGTAAGTTCAAAGTTCTGATAATTTTTGTGCTAGAGTTAAAACCTTGTCACATATGATGTGGTTGATGACCAGAAACTTATGTTTGAAATTTGAAATAAATACCTGTAGAAACAAGAGGACCATGATGGCCCTGAGTCGCTCACCAGAAACAACTGTTTTTCAGTGTTATTTTTCAAATGAACTTGCTGAAAGACCAGTCGCACTAAACTTTTACTTGCCTTTCAAGCTATTGAAATAGTTTGCGTTAATATATTTTGGAGGCTTTGTTAAAAATATCTATGTTGCAAGTGTGTTCCTATGAGACTATGTAGGATATAATAATGCAGAATACATGACCACTACAGCAGGGTTAATTTTGATGGGACATTTTTTCTTTATAACTTTTGTGAATGAATACACAAAATGTCACATGCAAAATATGTAAGGTGTTTACAGTATGGGACAACATAATTTTTATTTAAGGGCAAGTACGTGCACAATCGGTAAAATTATGGAGCTTTCGTAGCATCTATCTTTCGGAACGGAATTTGTAAAAATTACCGCTGCCACCAATATAGAACTGTTGCGATTGATTATAAAGGGATTGACAATACAAACAATCGACTTACCTTCCACGTCAGGATCACAGCCAAGCTAGGAATTGCCTACTTCTTCTAGTTATAAATTACACTAATATGGCGCCCAATTGTCAAGCCTAACACACTAGTTCCGGTTGGTCCGGAACCTTCCGTTAACTTCCGTCAACTCCGGTAACCAGTACCATGCGGTACTACAAAACTCTAAAGTCAATCGCAACTACTCGGCCCTTTCCGTCAGTCTTCGGACAAGGACCTCGAACATAATAGTATGAATACACAGAACATATCCGGTATTTTGGCCTAATCTACGCTAAGAAACTAAAGATATAAACAAAAAGTATTTTAATGCTGGGAGTTGTTGACAGGTTTATTTCCAATATATGAAGTAAAGGTCCACCTAAAATAAGTGAACTGATAGGTACAAAAGCAAACAATACATTATTTATATATTTATTATCCCTCGCCGACATCTTTGTCCGGAGCATATCTCAAAAAGTATTTGAGGTATCAACTTGAAACGTCATAGGTAGATAGACCATATCGATGAGGAGTGCAGTGCACAAGAATGATAACTCTACCCTACATAATTTTTCAGTTATTGCCCATTGTTATTTTTCAACTTAATTTTTGTCCAAAGCATAACTCAAAAAGCTTATGAGATATCAACATGAAACTTCATAGGTGGATAGATCTCACTAAGAAGATGTGCAGTGCACAAGAATGATAACTCTACCCCCTCATCATTTTTGAGTTATTGCCCTTTGTTATTTTTCATACTGAATTTCTCACCTGAGTGGAGCATAACTCAAAAAGTCTTTGAGATGTCAACATGTAACTTCATAGGTGGATAGGTCTTATTGAGGAGGAATGCTACGCATAAGAATGACAACCTTTCCCATTATAATTTTTGCGTTATTGCCTTTTGTTATTTTCATACTTTTTGTCCGGAGCATATCTCTAAAAGTATTTGAGGTTTCAACTTGAAACTTCATAGGTGGTTACATCATAGTAAGGAGGAGTGCAGTACTCAAGAATGATAACTGTACCCTGCATAATTTTGCAGTTATTGCCCTTTGTTATTTTTCAAATTTAATTTTTGTCCAGAGCATAACTCAAAAAGCTTATGAGATATCAACA